GGGGGATGGTCTTAGAAATCTAAAGGTTGAAATCAAGAGTACAAACTTAAGCTGGAGGAAAACGTGGAACACTTCCACGCTTCATCGGAACTCTGATATAAGGCCAGGGGCAATATTTGTATTTTTGATTAGACAGGGTATCTTGCTGTATTTCAGTTTTCGTTGGTCGCTGTATGTTGGTTTCTTTCTTTGTTCTCAATGAACGTCAAAATGGTTAAATCTATCGGGTCGGATTTTTAAAACTTTGCAAGTTTCGTAGGGTGGTTTTTTCTCTTCATGAGTGAAAAATAGTTCCTATTATTACTTAAAAATTAAAAAATATATATATATAAAACTTTAAGGAAGCCTTTGAAGGAGAATACTGATTTATTGAACCAAGTATATGTACAGAAGTAACTATTCTTAGTTGTTCTGCCTCTTGAATCAGCGGAGCAGTAGTTCAACAATCCGAGCCTTGTTAAACTACTCCTACCTATGATTTTAATTCCTAAATTGCTTTCCGTATTTTTTGATTTAATACTTTTATTGAGCCGTTGACTTGTATCATAAAAATGTACCATGTATCTTGTAAATTTAAAGTGGTTTAATTAGATTCTTCTTCTCTAGTTTGGCCTAGAATTAGTAATTAAACTATTAATTCCTAGTTCAACTACTTGTTGCATTTTAAAGGGACTGTAAGCAAAATTTTAAGTGACCCTCTAACTCAGAGATATCAATGCCCGATTAACAATGGTATCCTTGAAACCTTAATCTGATCAAAAATGTGGAAGAGAACGTCGTTTTTACTCGAAAAGTTTTCATTTTTTATGAATTTCTTTCAAGCAAACATGAATATCTATTTAATTCGTTCTTGATCAAACTAAGCTTTAAAGGGTACCCACTTGAATCTTGCATTGTCATCTTTGCATGGAGGGTCACTTAATTACGCTTACAGTCCCTTTAATCGCAACGTAAGGTTAACAATATTTGCCCCTTATTCACTTAATTTCCAATTAGTCAACCTTTTGTTAATTAAGCCTAGCTTTACATTCGTTGAAAACTACAGTTTTTTTAGAATACGGTATGTCAACCATCTTTTTATAGGAGTACACATTTTAGAATATTTTATAAAGGAGGGTTTTCGTTATACCAACGGCAGAAAGTTTCAATATTGTAGAGAGTTTTGATTTTTAAAGCTAGGAGACAACACGTGATTCAGAAAATACAAATCACAAATCCCTATGTCTTTTTTTGCAAAAAAGTCAAATAAATTATAATATTTTACATTAAACCCCGTAGATCTTAGGTTTATTCAAATAGATTGTTTATTAATTTACCGAAGGTGGGTGCACATTGCACTAATTTCTTTGGAATTAATTAAGAATTAAGAGAAAAGAAGTTAATTTGATGTGTTTTTCCTTAATTTCAGATGTAGCACTAATTATTTAAAAACATATTATAATTTTTGTTAAAAAACAACTACGATGAGTTTCAATTCAATTTTTATATTTACATCTTTAAGTTTTTTCAGTTTTAACCTCCAATTACGTTAATTCTGTTGTTACAGGTGGACTACATAGTCAAAGCTCTACATTGAAAGGAATTAAAAGAAAAGTTTTGGATGTAGCAAATACTTTAGGGTGAGTCAATGCTTTTTTCTTTATCAATATAAGTATGTACAGTAGTTGCATGTACACACAAAGTTTAATGTAGTTTTTGGGAATATTATGAGCTTACTCATCAGTTCGAGGGAGGGAACCCCGGAACCCATGAGCCTCCGCTATGCAGACACAAGCCTCCCTGATTTGCTAGGTAGACCGAGCCTCCACTATGCAATGCAAGCCTCCGCTATGCAGTAAACGAGTCTCCACCATACAGCACAGCCTTTTTTTAAATCTTGGTTTTTATGTGTAATGAAAATTTTAACAATTTTTTTTACGTAGTGGCATAAGAATTTTACTAAAGAATAGAGTTATGTTTTATTGGTCATGATTATAAACATATATGGACTCATAAAGTGGTTTATAAGATGTATACTAGAACTTTAAACATTTCTTACGCAGAAAGGAAACTATTTGGGGAAATAGTTCTGGAGTTCATTGATTTAAACAATATTTTTTTTTAAATGTTATGATTTAAATAAATGATACAAATTTTCTAGATTTTATTTGAACTACAAAAAAAGTCATTGCTTAAATCAAAGATTATTAAAGATGAAATGAAATTCAATTCAAAGTTTTTCTCTGAATATTTTCCTTTTCGTGTAAAAAATGTTTACATACCGCTTTATTAGTCATATTAGGCACTATTTATGATAATTGATAAATGCTTCTCATCTTAGAGAAACCTCTCCTTTATTACTGCACAGACACATTTTGATATACTGCGTATTCTCAATGCTCACTACTCCATAGCTGTAGCTCTGTCTGCCTAGCAAATCCGGGAGGCTTGTGTCTGCATAGCGGAGGCACGGTCTGCATAACGGAGCCTTGGTCTGCAAAGTGGAGGCTCGGTCTACACTCTACATAGGAAATCTTGGAGGCTCGTGGGTTCCCTCCCTCTCAGTGCAGCTTAAGCTATTAAGAAAAATAAATTGTTTAACAAAATAAGGAAACAAACTTTATTTGAACTAAAGGTTTTTATTGAAAGTAGTGACCTTTTAATCCAGTGCTTAGGATCCATTTAATTTTGATGCGGATACGCCCTGGAAAAAAGGGAGTCCAGGTCCTGATTATTTCTCCAAGATTTACTGATCGCTTATTGGTTGAAACTTAATGAATCATTCATGTAACGGCATATTAAGAAGCACTTTAGTCCGAAATGAATTAAAATAATATATTCATCAATCATAGTATTTAATATTTATATTTTTGTTTTAACGCCAAAGATAAGCCTAAGAGCGTCAGCTAGATTCGGGTTTAGTCAATTTTAGAACGGACAAAATTCCTGAAATAAAAATTATATGAATTTTTTATGTTATGCACAAGTGTGGCTCTTAGCCAATCATTGGATAAAGGAACTGTTGACGTCAATTCTTTGAGAATTTTAACATATTTTTTTATTTAAATTTTAAAAAGAGATACCGTACATGAAAATGATCAATTTTCAAGAGAAAATGATGAATATTTTCCACATTCTTGTTCAGTAAAAGGCTTTAAGCTTATTAATATGAATCGGAGACTAAAGTTTGCTTGAAATTTCAAGGATAGTTCCTGGACAGTTCCTTGACAGTTCCTGGACAGTTCCTGGACAGTTCCTGGACAGTTCCTGGACAGTTTCTGGACATTTCCTGGACAGTCACTGGACAGTCACTGGACAGTCACCGGACAGTCACTGGACATTTCCTGGAACGAACAAATAAAAGAATCGTTCAGAATCAAAATATTGCGAAGTATTAAAAAAAAAGACAATTTTTTTTCAAGAATAAAACCTTATGGTAGCAAAACAATGTATCGGTGAAAAATAATATAAAGCCTAACACAAATTGTGGCCAATGTGTATATATCTATATTCTGTATCTATACATACTAAAGTATAAATTACTAGGCTTTCAGGGCGCTTCGTGCCCATCTCCTATTTGCATTGTGAACATTTTTTCTTTGTATTCATAAACAAAAACAAAAATAGTTCGCGGTTTTTATAAAAAAAATCTTGGTTTTTCAAAATTTAATGAAAATCGAATTTTGTTAGAGGCTTTTTATTGAAATTTTGATCATCCATAAATCTTCCCTGGGGTCATGCGAGGTCCCACACAAAATATTCTCTGTTTGTTGTTTTGTATAACCGATTATGAACCCATGAAACTTATGAACTCCTTGACCGATTTCTTTAAAATTTTGATCAGAAACTTGGTAAAACTACGGAAATTTTCTGAAGATTTTAAATTGACTGGGTTAACTTTTTAGATGGAATTTTTATTTCAGGCTTAGCTGGGTTCCCAAGCTAATATAGCATATATTTATTTCTTGATTTATTTTATATTTAGGATGTCGAGTACTGTTATCCGGCTCATAGAAAGAAGAGGAGATGGAGATAAGATCATTCTCATTTCAGGGATCATTGCTACCTGTATATTCATGATCATTGTCATCAAATACTTCACATAATCAGATCATCTTTTATAGGGATTATTTCTACTTTTTCCTTTTTATCAACTTAAATACATAGATCATTACTATCTTCATATTCAGGATCTTATTCACTAAATACTTGACATGATCAACTAAATTACTCGGATTTTTTCTTGATCTTCGCTATAAAGTAAATGCATCATCACATCTTTTATCTTCATGATCATTGTCCCATAAATGATCCATTCTATTACAGAGATCATTGAAATGTATTTACTTGTGATCTCTGTCATCAAAACCTTCACATAAATGACATTGTCACACATTTTTTCACGAGCAACTTTATCACAGCGATCATTTCTACCCTTTATAATCTTGATCATGATCATTGTCATTATCATTATATCATCAACGTTGTGACATCATATTCATATCGTTAGAACTTATTGTGATACATTCTTGATAAATATGTGATCATTATGTTTACTGATGATTTTATCAAGAAATCTAAAATTGAATCTGCGTTTACTGTTATATTATTATTGGAAAAGTGTTAACCTGTTTTTTAAATTCTACGACGTAGTTCTTATCTATATTTAAAAAATAACATTTTAGTTGAGAAAAATATTGTTTTATTGGGATTGTGAATGTAAATGACGTCACCCTTTAGCTGAAGGATACCTATTATTTTTGAAGTGGAGGACGGAATGATTTTCGAAGCTTAGGGGATTCATTTGTTTGAAAATATAAACCCGTTTAGATAGTTTAATAAATAGTAAATAAATGTGATATGTGGAGAATGGAATATGTTTATATAGATTTTAAAATGTCTCAAAAATTTCGTTAATAAATCATATTTAATTCTTAAATGCAAGTACATGAAATATTTATGCACTTTTTGAAGACAGCGCTGCAAATTGCATTTATTTAATTTTATTGTAAAATTTTCAGAAATGTTTCGATCATGTTCACGACTCGGAAGAACTGTTTATGCGAACTCCCAAATGTCTCCTCTTTCCCTACACAGCTGGATGCCAGTCTCTCAGTTTATACAAGGAAAATACGCAATCGTATCAATTTAAATTTAATTAAATATAAAGATTATAGAATGTTTTATCTGTGAACGGTCCTCTCTGAAATGTCTTCTATGTCTTTCAAATAGTTTTTTTTAATAAAATGTCTTACTTATGAAAATTAACTAAGATGCCTGAGCTGAAAACTTTTGAATGGGATATCCTTAATCCTGATCGGATAATTAATCTGGAGATTAAAAATGAGAGGAGAACAAGCAATATTTAATCTCGAGATTAAGAAAAAGAGTGGATTAAGCATTAATCCCGATATCCACCATTCTAAAGTTTTCAGCTCTGGTTTCTCAAAATTCTCCATTGCCTCTTATAAAAAAGAAATGCGCAGGTCATTTTCGGAGATAATCCGCAACTTAAAATGGAGGGTAACTTGAAATTACGCTTACAGTCCCTAAAAGTGCAAACGCACTGGATTAAGATTGCTAATCTAAGGTTCTGGGGTTTCAGGTTCATTCTCTCATCCATCTCTTCTCCGACAACAAAACAAACAGTTCTCACTCCTCTCTTCCCTGCAATCCTCGGGGACAGAGAACAAAAAGATTCCAGAAAAACTTGGAATAGTTGCAAAATTTAAGAAAATGGCAAAGGATTACTGGTATGTTCTGATTCCAGTTCATGTCGCCACTTCAATCGTTTGGTAAGCAAATTAACATTTAACATTATTATCTATTTCTAAAACTTTTCTTAAATTGTTATCACATTAAGTCAGAAAAATTTTTGTTTGATGCTAAAAAATTGTCGAGGTTTCATCTTCAATTACAGTAAGCGCATGAAAAGGTATCATATTCATTTTATGTGATAACCTTAAGAGCTGGGCTAATTTATGTATCTTAAAAAATGTTGGATTAGTCTATAGAAAGGAAAGGAGACAAAAAGCTCTTAGCTCATCCGTTAGGACACATCTGTATTGCACACCACTGGTCTAAGCTAGTGATTAAATTAAGCCTAAGTTAAAGGAATAGCAAAAATTAGTTGCTCTGTGTAAACCAAGTTGAGACACTTCTCTTGTGCGCGGATTTAAGTTCAAGAATTGTGATTAAGCTTAGTTCATTAAGTTTAAATACTTCTTACAGTTTATTAGATTTGGTCCTTGAACAGTATAACCGTTGTTTCAGGTATGGAGGATTTTATTTACTAGCTAAATCTGGTGTGGATCTCATTGCTATTCTTGAAACCTGCTCAGTGCCAGAATCTGTAATTGGTCAGTTTTATTTTTACAGTTAATTCTGACAATTCAAGTCGTGTTTTTTTTATTTAACAAAAATTAATTGTAAAAGTCTTTCTATTTCAACCTAAATGAGCGCTAGATAGTGGCACACTGGAAACCTCTTTTGAGCAATTTTATAATATACAACAGCGAAGTTTTTGTACTAAGAAGATTTTAATACAATTTGAAGTGTGTAGGAGAACTTGAAAAGTGTGTAGGAGAGCTTAAAATAAAACAAAGTAGGGGACAGTGAAAATCAAATTCTGTTGAAAAATTTTTTTTATGACAAGACTTAGTTTTGTAAAGAAAAACTTATTTTTGCATTAATTTGAAATATATCTTCTATTCAAAAACCTTTTGAAAATATATTGATAAATATAAAATATAAACCAAAACCTGCAAAAAAAAAACTTTTTTACTCCTAAAACCAAAATCTGAACTTTTGAAAAAAAGAGAGATTATAATATTTCCTCATTTCTGAACGGTTCATCAAGTTTTAGGATAAAAATATGCGAAAAAATAAAACAAAAAATTTGAAAATTATTTTTTGTAAGAAAAATTCAGTAAATCTTAAAGAAATGACCCTGATCCGGATCCAAATCCGGATCGATTTTTTTCCAGTGCGGATCCAGGATCCGGATCCGCATCAAAATTAAATGGATCCTAAGCACTGTAAAAAAGAGTTGAAAAAATTTTATTATTTGAAAAATTTAAACGGTTTCGAATCTGAATTCAGCATGAAATCTTGAAGTAGATGGGTTAGGCTGTATGACTGACATTCTTTTCCTTATTTTTTGGTTTATAAAGTATAGAGAATTTTTTTTATGAATTGTTTCATTAGAATAAGTTTTAAATGTAACTGTTTTACCGTTTATGAATCCAGCATGTTCCGTGCTATTTTCACTGTTCCCTACTGCAGTAGAGTGTACTCTGTATGGCAGAAGATTATTTCTATTCCTCGAAATTGAATTATTAAATTTTGGTTTAAAGGCCTCCATTATTAAGTTGTTTGTGGAAATTTAAATTAGCTTAATGGAGTTGTACAATGTACATGAAGTTAAATTTTAAGAGTTTCAGTCACGGTTTGGACATTTAAGAGAGCTATAACTGGAAGATTTCGTCATTTTTCATGAAAAAAATGTTAAATTCTGTTGATTTCCTTTTTTGTTTCATCTAAAAAAACCCCGGGAAGTCGCTTTTACAGAAAAACCTCATTAAAAATTATCATTTTCCGGTAAGAAAAAAGTGAAATGGGCCTTTATTGAACTCCACAAACTCTGTGTCCCACAGTGTAGAAAAAAAAATGTTGCATTAAACATATATGTTCTTAACATATTAACTACTGTTGCGGTTGAAAATCCCCGACAGGGGATTAAAAAATTCGCAAATCGGTAGTGTCGGATTCTGGAACCAGAGAAGGGCTACACATCTTCCTTTCCTTTAATGTGTAATATAAATGAACTAAATATAGCAAATACGATTGTAAAATATAATCATGAATAAATAAGCAATACAAATAAAATTCTGTAAAACAATATCAAAAATTACATTGATATATTCTAGATCGATTGCGTGGTTCTGAAGCAGGTTACTATGCCCTGGCATATGCTTGCTATAAAGTAGCAACACCAATTAGGTATTTATATGTTAATGGATTATATATTTTCTTGATAAATTTGTGGCATTCATTCTCTGTTCAAACATTATACTTTGCAACTTACAAAAAGTTAATCTACATATATTAATTTTATTCTGCATGGCAATTTAGAAAACAATGATACTAGCTATAAATATCAATTTTATTCTGCATGGCAATTTAGAAAACAATGATACTAGCTATAAATATCAACTTTATTCTGCATGGCAATTTAGAAAACAATGATACTAGCTATATATGTAAATTTTATTCTGCATGGCAATTTAGAAAACAATGATACTAGCTCTATATATATCAATTTTATTCTGCATGACAATTTAGAAAACAATGATACTAGATATATATATATCAATTTTATTCTGCATTGCAATTTAGAAAACAATGATACTTTTATAAATATCAATTTTATTCTGCATGGCAATTTAGAAAACAATGATACTAGCTATATATATCAATTTTATTCTGCATGGCAATTTAGAAAACAATGATACTATTATAAATATCAATTTTATTCTGCATGGCAATTTAGAAATTTTATATTAAACAAACTGTTTAATAAATCCTTAACAAAAGACATGTAAGTTAATAATAAATGGTATGTTTTTTTATTTTAGTTGAGATTAAGTTGAAATTCTCATTTTATTTTGAATTTTAAATCTTGGGCTCGGAGGAGGAGGATAACTGATCTGTGTCCTCATCCATTCTTTTTTCCCATTTTTTTCCCCAGTTCTTGTATGTCCCCATAGTCTATATTCAAACAAACAAAAATTCAGATGCCAATTTAAGCTTGATGTAAAAGTTTTAAACTAACAAATCTTTAAGTATAAAAAAAAAGTTAAAATGTTATTATATAGTATTCACCCTAAGTATTCGTAACATTTTCAAGCTTTAGCTGTAGGGTGTAGAGATGGTGGTAAGGTGACCTACACTAGTTTTAACTCCACCCACAAATGACTTCACAAAATGGTATTTGCGGCATGAGCTTTCCCTTACAGACTCAACCCACACCCATTTTCCTTTCTGTCAAAAAGTTTGCACTTAAACTTATTCATCATATTTTTTTGGTGACAGTCATAGATGTGATACAGCAAGCAATAGTTGTGAAAACTCATAATATGTTAAAGATATAGTAGCTGAGGACTTACTTATATGAACGTGAAAAGAAATATAAAACTGTAAAAAATGGAACACCCTAATTATCAATTTCAAGTCCAAAGGATCATGGTTTAAACCTCAGAAATATATTTCCTACTTGTATGATTTAAAAGGTGATCTCAACCCTATAATGTTTAGATATACAGTAACTGTTGGGGGAACAACATTTACAATCACAAAATTGACCCAGATGGGATACCTCAGCACATCAAGGGAGATGGCAACTAAGGTAAATTGACCCAGATGGGATACCGCAGCACATCAAGGGAGATGGCATCTAAGGTAAAACTAATGGGTGGCCAATCTGCATGGTTTTTTATAATAAATATTTTGCAGAAATATTCAGTGTTTTATAATTTTAAGAATTTTTGACGAATTGGTAAAAAATGAAGACCCCCCACCCCCACTTACGACTCAATAAACCGCCCCTTTCTCTTTCATTTTAGATTAATACGAAAATATCATGTTTGTACACTTGGAAAATTTAATAATTAGAAAATTATTTTTAGAATGATTTTGGAATTATTCTGCGCTTAATCTCTGTTTGATATTTATAGATTTCTAAACCTACGTGGATTTATGCATTTCACATTCATGATGTACAAGCATCTGTTATTTATATATTTAATGGATATAAAGAGAGCCTTTTCTCGATCCTGATATGACTAAATATTTGATGAGGTGATATCATTTGAAAAGATTAATATCTGGAAAATTTGTTTTTTCCCCATATTCCCCTTTTGAAAGTATTCTTCCCCAATTGTTGGGTATTTTTTAGGGGTTTATTTCATGAAATTTGTTTTGGGTACAAAGTTTCCAAAAGGGTGAAATAACTTGCCTTTTGTTCATTACTGGGTGGAGGGATGGGTGGGAGGTGGGGGATTTTTGAATGATCTGTGAAAAGATAAGAAAAACTCGCACATCAAAAGGCAAGTTGTTTCATGCGTCATTATATGTTTTTTTGCACAAAATACCAAACTTTTGTAGAGGGAAAATTTCCGAAAATGGAGAATGCCTTTCAAAAAATAAACTTGGTAAAACTTATCAGTTATCCTTAACTGACTTGAGTTTTGTTCTTGTCAAGTATTCAGGAAAGTATAAAATCTTGGAATTTTCTTCAGGTTAAGGACAAGGCTGACGAGATGAATGAAATCTATCAAACTAAAAAAGAAGATATTAAAGAGAAGTATGAAGAACGAAAAGATAAATTCAAGGAATGTATTCTCACATATTATTATNTATCCCATTCTAAAGTTCCCAGCTCTGAATATATATTTTCTTAAATTTAATAGAAAACCCTTTATTTTAAAAATAGAGTTGGCTTGAAACTCCTTGAATGATACTTTTGATTTTTCGGATGCGAAAATTTTAGTTTTTTGGAAATAGAGATGAATTCAAAAATTCTATTTATTTGAGAATACTGATGCTTTGTAGGATGACTGGGAGAGTGCCTGGGTTAAGTACAGCAAAAGAAAACAAAAATAAACAAATTTGTTTTGTATATTTAACTGTACAGTAAACACCGTCCTAATCTGTTTTCACTCTGTACTCTGTACTGACATTGTATGTAAATCGTCCATATTGTAATGTCGCTAATGTACAAGAATTTCCATGTTTTTGCCAATCGTTATACGAAGAATTTCTCAAATCTGATAAATGTTAGAAATTAGGAAATAAAACCAGTTATAAATTTGTAATATATGGACTTGAAGGAACTGTACGTGTTAAGTGTAACTTTAAGTAACACTTCATTTAAAAATGGCTTGTCAGGTTCATAACAGTTCCCTTGAATACTTCATATTTTTAATTAGATTTCTTCATTTAAAAATGGCTTGTCAGATTCATAACAGTTCCCTTGAATACTTCATATTTTTAATTAGATTTCTGTAAAAAGAACTTGCGGATTTCTTCTAGAAAAAACTGTCTGAATTTTAGCCAAAAAAATAAAAGATGATGCCATTTAATGAGTTGTTGTGAATCAGACATTCCACGTTACAAACGGAGAGTCACTTGAAATTCCGCAAAAGCCGTATTTCCTTATCCAAATTAATAATTCATATCCATTCAGATTCAGAAGTGAAAAGCATTACTAACCAACTAATAATAATGGATTCAAACCTTTGAGACATTTATAAAGCAAAGAAAATACTGGTGAAAATTTAACGTTTTGAATTTCACTGAAAAATTTACTGATATCCATTTTGTCAGATTACACCGTAAATTTGCTATGCATAAATTGATATCGTTTTGTATAGAAATAATTTTTTTAATCCCTCTGATAAAAAAATTATTGTTATTAATGGTAGGAAAATCTCCCTAAGTTTGATTATATTAGATTCATTGTAAAATTTTGTATTTGTTGAAATATATATTTTAAAAGAAGCATTTGACTGTAAATCCATGATTCGATGCTCGTTGTTCTTGATGAATCTAATAAATTAAACTGGTAATTGATTGCTGTCTTCGTTTTTTCGTTAAATCAAGAATTTTAAAACTTATTCGTAATTTTTTTACATATTAGACACAATTTTTAAAGCTTATTAGTTATAGATTAATCAAAAACTGAGAAATAGTTTGTTAAAATATTTTTCAACAAATTTTCTGTTTCTAACTGATCATTACCCATTCCAACCTAATCACACTATATATATATAGTTTGCTTGTCTTTTAGTTTGTATTCAATAAACGTCAAAACGGCTAAACCGGTTGGGCCCACATTTTTTATCAACTCGTTTGAAACCAGGGCAGGTATTTGGTCAGTCCAAAAAAAAATTGAGTTTAACCATTTTCCAAAAACTATGAATTTGAAAAAAATGCGCAAAATTTTAAGTTTTACGATTTTTCCACAGACAATAGCGACGTGTTAACATTCTTTATCTATGGTTAACATCGCTTAAAGGGACTGTAACGGATAAATGAAATTGGGTATAGGCTGAAAGCTAATCACTTTAGCTCTTGATTGCAACCCATGAAAATTATATCAGACGTTCCTGTCTCAAGAAATTGATATAAAACTGTGTCAAATTTGTATGAAAATTCATATTTATACAGTTTTGTATAGAAATAGTAGGTTTAAACAAATCATACTCAGCAAATATGCAACAAATCTGAAAATGAAGATATCCCAGAGAAACTTAATATTATCTATTTATATCTATTAAAAATAAAGTAATAATTGGAGAAAACCTAAGTTACAATTTCTCGAGACAAGAACACCAGATAGAACTTTCATGGGTCGCGATCAAGAGCTAAAGTAATTAGCCTTCTGCCTATACCCCCTTTCATTTTTCCTTTACAGTCCTTTTAAGAATTAAAATGGGTACAATGCCCCTCTCTTCCATGCAGAAGTGATAACTCAAACTTCTAAGGGTGTGTCAATCCTAACGGGGGGAGGGGGGCTGAACCCCCTGGGACAAACTTGCGTTTACACCCCTTGATAGTAAAGCATGTATTAGTTAGATAAATCTTATTTTTTCATGTTTTATTGCTAAATAAATATCAATTGATACAAATATATAGATATATGATTGATGACATATTGTTTAAATTTTTTCATTTTGTTGTCGCGAAAGCCAAGTCCAGACCACATCTGAAAAATAAGTTCAATTAATCTAAGTTTTTAAGAACTTGTTAAACTTACCAACTGTTAACAAAACTTAATTTCTGTTTAATAGGAAAAATTTTCTTTTTATGTCTGTAAAAGTTTTGGATGTTTATCTGGAAGAAGATCGATTTTCTGACATTTGGAATATTTTTGCACAAGTTAGAACTTCAATATCTATTTTAAACTCTTGATGTACAGTCAGAAATTTATTGTTTAATTCATTTTGAAACCAAACAAAAACTTACTATTTTTTGTATATTCTAAGCTTGTATTGGGAATAGGGCGAGCCGGTTGAAGTCTGCATAAGCCTACATCATAAAAATAAAGAAAAATTTTCAAGTCTGATTATATAGATAGGTATACAAAATCTTAATTGCGCGTACGAAAAGATATTTTTTTGATAAATAAACTTAATTTCATCATAAGATAATATGAATTTTTAAGTTTGAACTATAACAAAAATTAAAAATTACATCAATAGACATACTCAAAAACACCCGGAGAAAAACTATAACAAAATTATGTGCAAAATAAGATGTTTGGAAATATCATAGACAAGCACAGATAGAACACTAGATGTCATCTTTTCAAGATTTAGAGGTTTTTCGTTCACTTTAACTATGAGGCAGAAGCCAAAATATCATAGATAAATAACAACACAGATAGAACACTAGATGTCATCTTTTCAAGATTTAGAGGTTTTTCGTTCACTTTAACTATGAAGCAGAAGCCAAAAGGAGTTAAGCGCATGCTGCGTTGAATTACAAGACAGCGAGAGAGCCTATTCTACGCAGCATGCGGCGCGTAACTCCTTGAGCTTCTGCCTCAGGGTTATTGTGAACAAAAAATTCTTAAATCTAGAAAAGACGACATCTAGTGTTTTATCTGTGTTGATATTAATAAACAGGAAATATTAAATTTACCTACCTTAATGAAATGAAAGACATAAATAATAAGATCTTCACATTTTGCAAAAACTTTAAAATATAGATATAACAAGCTGCAGACAATGTTAAAGTCCTTTGCTGCATTGTTTTTTATTTAAGAGCGAAGAAGCCCTTTACCTTGGTTTTAGCCCTTCATGTCCTAGGTTTAGCATTGTCAGGTTTACGTTTCTAAATTATCAGATTTTTAACTTTTTCACCTTGGAACAAGAAATCCTGTGCTCAGCAAATCCACCAAATTATTCAAGGAATCCACAAACAGTATTTACCTGTACTGAACTGTACTATTTACTTGTACTAAACTGTATTATATATTTTATATATGTACAAAACTGTACTATTTACCTGTCTGTACTGAACTATAGTATTTACCTATACTAAAATGTACTAGTTACGTGCAACTAAACTTTATTTTTTTCCTGTACTAAACTGTACTATTCACCTATACTAAATTGTACTATTTACATGTACTAAACTATACTTTTTACCGGTACTTTACTGTACTATTTACCTATTCAAAACTGTACTATATGCATTTATTGAACTGTACTTTTTACCTGTAAGATGCTTCCCCCTTATCCCGTCTGTAGTAGTCGGTAAACTCTGAAAAAGAAAAGTTTTTTTTAAAGACATTTTATTCTGCCTATAAGTTTTGCCACCGTACTCTGAGTCCAAGACAGTACTCTAGCTCCTTTAGCAGCTCTGGACAGTGCACTATCTCCGATCTAGCCGTCCTTGACAGTACACTACCTCCTCTAGCCGTCCTTGACAGTACACTACCTCCTCTAGCAGTCCTGGACAGTACCCTAGCTCCTCTAGTAGTCCTGGACAGTACCCTATCTCCGATCTAGCCGTCCTGGACACTACACTACCTCCTCTAGATGTCCTGGACAGTACAAAAGTTTTTTTTACCTCCCCTAGCCTTTAGGGACACTCCTCTAGTCGTCCTGGACATTACTCTAACTCCACTAGTTGTCCTGGACAGTACAAAAGTTTTTTAGCCGTTCTGGATAGTACACGAGCTCCTCTAACCGTCCTAGACAGTGCATTAGCTTTTCTAATCGTCCTGAACAATACACTAGCTCCTCTATCCGTCCTGGACAGTACACTAGCTCCTCTAGCCGTCCTGGACAGTACACTAGCTCCTCTAAGCCGTCCTGGACAGTATCCTAGCTTTTCTAACCGTCCTAGACAGTGTATTAGCTCCTCAAGCCGTCCTGGACAGTACTCTAGCTCCTCCTCTAGTCATCCTGGACAGTACACTAGCTCCTCTAGCCGTCCTGGACAGTATCCTAGTTCTTCTAACCGTCCTAGACAGTGCATTAGCTCCTCTAGTCGTCCTGGACAGTACACTAGCTCCTCCTCTAGTCATCCTGGACAGTACACTAGCTCCTCTAGCCGTCCTGGACAGTATCCTAGCTTCTCTAACCGTCCTAGACAGTGCATTAGCTCCTCAAGCCGTCCTGGACAGTACACTAGCTCCTAAAGCCGTCCTGGACAGTACTCTAGCTCCTCTAGCCGTCCTGGACAGTACACTAGCTCCTCTAGCCGTCCTGGACAGTACACTAGCTCCTCTAATCATCCTGGGCAGTACACTGGCTCCTTTAGCCGTCCTGGACAGTACCCTAGCTCCTCTAACCGTCCTGGACAGTACGCTAGCTCCTCTAGCCGTCCTGGACAGTACACTAGCTCCTCTAGCCGTCCTGGACACTACACTAGCTCCTCTAGCCGTCCTGGACAGTACACTAGCTCATCTAGCAGTCATGGACAGTACACTAGCTTCTCTAGCCGTCCTGGACAGTACCTTAGCTCCTCTAGCCGTCCTGGATAGTACACTAGCTCCTCTAGCAGTCATGAACAGTACACTAGCTGCTCTAGCCTTAATACCTTGGGACTGTGATTGTATTCGTGATTCTTCAAACCAGACAAAGGCTTCGAAATCTCTGAGTTCTTCAGGAGTGTGGAATTCAAGCACCTGAATACAATTATTTCAATCTGTTTAAAGATTTAGATAACTAAAAAATGCAAATTTTAATCGAAAATCGGAGTATTTGTTTGAAGTATCTTTAATCTTGATCCCTCACAACATAATAGTTTTAAGCTGACTTCAAGATGGATATCGAGATCAAGCGTTCCAGATTTACATTATTCAAAAGTTCCGTTTTCTCTTAACTTTAATGTAAGGCTTGTTAATAGTACTTTTACTGAGAAGCAGAATTTATTATTTTTAGGATGAATATTCAAATTAACGGTTTTAGGAGAAAATTTCGTTTTGGAATGGTACCTAGAATGAAAATACTAGATTTATGTATTATTAACATTTTGAAGTTTTTTTTTAAATATTACAAATCGTTTATTTATAAATGACAAAAAAATAAAACTTAACTAAATTTATTCCTTAGTCATTCGTTTATCATTTGAGCTGAATCCTGTATATTTCATGAAAAATCTTTTTTTTTAATATAAAAGAAATTATGACGTGCAATTACAGAACTTAAAGCAGCCAGTTTATAAATACATAGATACCTACTTTTTGTCAATAAAAATATTTGTTTTTGCAAAAATAACAAATATTTAGAAGCAATAGTTTTTAGGAAAAAGTTTGGAACATAATTTGTAAAAAATGAATGAAACCCAAATGCATTTTTTGAACCATTGTACTTTGAAATTTAATAAAAATATTGTGTACTATATCATTCATGTTCACTTCACGTTCAATTTCAATAACAGAGCTATAAAAAGATGTCATTGTGCTATAATGGTAAATTTGCTGTATATTTATAGCACTGTGCTATAAAGTTTGTTTTCGGATTTTCTCAACAAAAATTATAACGTTTCTAGAGAAACTTTTTCAACTTTTATAATTCAGGAGATATTAGTTCCAAAAGGTCCATTTCTAAAACTGGGAGTTAGAAATTGGCACAACTTGATAAATCAGGTTTTTAGGATCCCGGCTCTGTCATATCGACGATAAAGTCGATAGTAAAAACAATAACCAACATCTTCTTAAACATGACAAGGACAACAATTACCACTTCCGTGCATATCCCGAATTGGAATCAATGTTACGTTTTTAGGCACAAACCCCACCTTCCCGTTTTAAGTACAGTGAAACCCTTAATAATGAATACATCGGAAGAATCTATCAAATGTCGTATTGACAATTTTTCAATGAATTTTATACTATATTGCGTAAATTTCAGTATTTTTGAAAATAATTAAATAGCCATGAATATGCGGGAACAGTTTTAAAGAGTTCCATATAATCATTTAATTAAAAAACTAAATATCTGCAACATTCTATTATCAGAAAGTGAAGAATACGACATTTGATGAATTCTTTCGATGTATTCTTTATTAAGGGTTTCACTGTATAACTTCTGAATTATTTCAAGAATTCAAGTTTCCACATTATATTTGTTAAATGAAATAATAAAGCTGTTTTTTTCCAGCATTTCAGATAAACCATTCATAATATCTATATTTTAGTTTATCAAAGATTTTTGAATTATGCAGGTACGGTATTTTTTTATCTCTTTTTTAGTTTTCAAGTGTGTAAATGCTAGAGAATTTACATTAATATTAATTTTAATAAATGTCTTGAATTCAGGATATGTGCCAAAACGCACCATGAGCATAAATATTGAATACAATAACTGTTTCAAAAATGAAATCAAGAATCATGAAAAATAAATAGAACTAATTGAAATTTTAAAGAAAATTTGAATTTTGAAGAAAAAAAAATTTATTTAGAAAAGTTAGGTTTAAAAAAAAAATTAGTAGCCTACCTATATCCTACCTAAAATGGACCCTACCCTGCCCCTGAATTAAATAAAAAATTAACCTACCCTAATATGCCCCTGAATCTATATATAGATTTAGCTTGTCTGTCTCTTTGTTTGTTTGTATCCAATAAACGTCAATACGGCTGAACCGATCGGGCCCAAATTTTGTATGAGGGCTCATGTAGCCCCAGGGAAGGTTTATGAATGATCAAAGTTAAAAAATATGCCTCCATCAAAATTCGATTTTTATTAAATTTTGAAAAATTTTGAAAAATCAACGAAATATTTTTAGAAATCAGCGATCTTTTTCTGTTTTGTTTTACAGTGTACAGAAAGAGAACGTGTTCACGTTAAATGAAAAATGTACCTACCCTACTATTCCCATGAATCACGGGTTGAAGGACTAGAAAAACGAAAGACAGTATTAACATTTTTCCTAAAAATTTGATAATCAAAATTGGTTCATTTTTCAAGGAAAAAAAATTTAGAAAAAAGTAATTTTGTTCAAGAAAATATTAAAATAAAAATAAAACCAATCTGACACACTATAGAAAATTACGGTCATTACGTTAAAAGAATTTTCTTAAAATAAGTTGAATAATAAACTATTAAGTTATTTGTGATCTACAATATTCTTATTTAATTCCCGTTTGGTTGATGTGAGTCCTCTGGTAGGAAAGTTTAGACTCTAATGTGTTCTACATATTTTTCGTGTTTTATTCAAGAGCAATCCGCCCTTCCAACTCTTATCCGGCTCATACGAGAGAAAACTTGAATCTAAGGGACTGTTAGGGCGTAGATGTACTTTCAACTGCTGCTTAAGAGTTTCGAATTTCAGATTTACAACGGGCTGCCTTTTTAAAGTTTATGGAAGAAAAAATGATAAAGTTTTCCTTGCAGATTTACACAGCAGAGACAATGAAGAAAATCATTTTTTTTGGAAATTTATCTGTTTTTTTGATTGAATAATAAATTGATAATATTTATCAATATATAAATTTAGTTTATCTGTCTGTCTGTTTGTTTGTATCCAATAAACGTCAAAACGGCTGAACCGATCTTGCCCAAATTTTGTGTGGGACCTCACGTGGCCCTAGGGAATGTTTAAGATTATTAAAATTTCAAATATTTGTCTCCATCAAAATTCAATTTTCAACAAATTTTTAAAAATCCACGAACTTCATTTTGTTTAGTTTTACGACATACACAAAGAGAACATGTTCACAATTAAAATAGAAGATGGGCGCGAAGCGCCCGAAAAGGCTAGTATGTATATATTTATGTTTAAAAACTTGTAGATACGATAAATCTTCGAATAGTTGTTGATATATTTTATGCTAACATTCTGTTTACATAATAAAATTTTTTTCGTAATTTCTAAATTTTTTTGGAAGCTTTTTTTAAAATTTCTATCAATCTGTGGGCTGCTAGTGATGTATGATCATAGCTGGTAACTCTTGTATTGTGGATATCCATATCGAGATCAATGCTTGATCTTGATCTTTTGTTAATCTCCAGATAACTTTAACATTATTCGATATCCTGCAGTGTTATCATATCCGGTCAGGGGTTGAATGCAGCTTTAATAAAAATATACAGAAAGGTTTACTTTTACAGATCTTTAAAATAAAGGTGCCCACACGGAATATCGAGATCTAGGGATCAGGATTACGAGTTTCCAACTTGAGTACTTAGCCCACAGTTCATAATTAGTGTTTACAAGGAACTATGTTTATTGCAACCTATAGCAGACTAATTTACTAATCTGCATTCTTCACGATTTATTTGCGAACAGTTTATCTGAATAGTTCATCCTAACTCAGGTTACAATGGAAGTGGGCCGAAGATTTAATTTTTAGAAAAATTAGTTTTATAATTGTCATTTCATTTTTTTCCACAACGATTTTTTCAACATTTTTACTAAAAGTATACTTTTAAATCTGTTGAATCTCTACAGTAAAGGTGAATGGCGAATGCATGTATATATAATGTAGGTCAGTATTTTTGCTTTATCTCTTTAATTGCTTTTTCTTTAGTGCATTGATTTCTCTGACACTATAGTCCTAGTGACGCTATATTTAATAAAGGAACCCTAGCTGTAACCTGTCTCTTATAATAATAAATATATAGGAATATGCTGAGGTTTATCAAAAAAGATAAAGTCTTTTTTGACCGGCGCCCCCCCCCCCACACCCAACCCTAATCTTCTGTTGATTATAAACATGTCTAACTTATACTTGATCAGACAAAGCTTTGCGAAAACAAATTTAGCTTTTTTTAATCTTTTACATTTGCATATTTTGAAGAAAAAAATCAAAGCATAGTTTGGAAAATTTTCTGTTTTCAAATATATTTTTTTAAAAGTTAGCATTGTTTAATTCTGACCGAATATAATCCTTCCTTAGCTTTTTTTAGGATTAAGAAGACGTTTTGATATTTATTGTAAACAAACAGACATGCCAAATAAACCAACAGACATGTCACATAAACAAACAGACATGTCACATAAACCAACAGACATATCACATAAACCAGCAGACATTTCACATAAACCTACAGACATGTCACATAAACCAACAGACATGTCACATAAACCAACAGACATGTCACATAAACTAACAGACATATCACATAAACCAACAGACATGTCACATAAACTAACAGACATATCACGTAAACCAACAGATAAACCAACAGACATGTCACATAAACCAACAGACATGTCACATAAACCAACAGACATGTCACATAAACCAACAGACAAGCCAAATATATATATATATCTATATATGCTTATGGCTATTGTCAAATTTAAAAAAAATGCTACCACAAGAAATCTTAAGCTACCACAAAAAAAATTGGCCCGAATGGTTCAGACGTTTATTGGTTCGAGAAAGAAACCTCCAAAAAATAAATTTGATGATAAAAGTACATATATCATTCTATAAACATTTTGTGATGTAAATCATACATTTTTGCGTGTGACTGAATTCCTGTAAAAAAGCCGTAAAAAAATAAATCCAGAAGGAAAACAAATATTTAGTTTTTTAAAAATAGAAGATTTATAAAATCCAGCTTAAAGAATTTACTATTAAAATAAACGTTAAAAACTTTGAAAAGAGAAAGGCCGGTTTTAGTGTTATTTGTAAATATCCTAAACACCTGAAAACCCTTTGCTAAATAACTATATAACTCTTTGAAATCTAAAAAACTGAATAAAAATAACCGATAATCCAAGATCAGGGTTTTTAAAAAAATGTTAGAAAAAATCTGCGAATAATTTGAATTAGATATGAACCCAAGATTTATTATAAATAATATAAATAAAATGAGTTCGCATTTAGCAAGAATTTAGATAAAATAACAAAAGTCGGAATTCATATGATCAGACGGTATTCACAGAAACTACAGGGTAAACAATTAATATTTATTCACAGAAACTACAGGGTGAACAATTAATATTTATTCACAGAAACTACAGGGTGAACAATTAATATTTATTCACAGAAATAACAGGGTGAACAATTAATATTTATTCACAGAAACTACAGGGTGAACAATTAATATTTATTCACAGAAACTACAGGGTGAACAATTAATATGTATTCACAGAAATTAGAGTGTAAAGTAATATTCTTTAAGTGCGCTCTGTGCCTATCTTTTAATTAAATCTTTCGGTGAGCATCTTTTTTGTACAAAATAAAACAATAACAAAAAAAAAAAAATTTTGCAGACTTATTAATATTTTTTTTGTGCTTTTTTAAAATTTAACAAGTATCAAAAACTTTGAGACACTGATTTTTGTATGTTTGAGTGAGGTCTCACTCAAAATGTTTGTCCGATCGGTTCAGCCGTTTCGACGTTTATTGGACACAAACGGACAGATAAGCGAGATAAGCAAAACATATATAATTGTTACATTAAGAATTAAAGTGAAATCAAATTACAAAATAATAATAACTATAATTCAGCAATGATGGTTATGAATATAAATCCTAATCTTCTAAATATTTTTAACACACTATATAAACAATAATTCTTACGAAACCCTGACTAGTGTTTAATTCTGTTTTTAGAAATACAGGGAATTTTATTATTTTTTCTCAAAATAATGAAAATTTTCTTTAAAAAATCTCCTACTGAAAATCAAAATGAAAGGGCTAATTCTTCCAAGAGGGACGTTCCCCCAATTATCAAATTTTCCAAGGGGGGTGGGGCGTTCCCCTCCCCTACCATTATTGCCACCTGAATTTAAAACTTTTGTGTCAAATGGCGCTTATCTGCGACGCTTGGTCTCAAAATATTTGTTTTGCAATATTATTTTGTATGGGTAGTTTTATACTAGTCTCTCTTTATTTTCTATTTCTTAATCTACACAAATGTAAATAGTACAGAGTTGATTATAAAGAATGAGACTGTAAAGATGACCTAAATCTTATAAAATAGTTCAATCACATAGTTAAATTAACTCATCTGTCTTGAATATAGTCTTTTAATGTCTTATTTAATGATTTGGAAATATAGAATCATGAATATAAGTAAACAGACAGTATAAATTCCGTACAATCGTCTCATAAGTCTCATCCTTTGTGGGTAACTCTGTATATACCCCGAAAAGTAAACTTAGTTTTGTTCTACGTTACTCTCTTAAATTTTCGACTCTGTTAAGCACAGACAGTACAGTATAACCCAGAATCTGCAGGAAAAAAGCACTGCAAGAAAAGTGCCCAAAAGAATCTTTTCCTGTATCGATCCCCATCCCTGTAAAATAAATTATTTTGTGCAAAAAAAAGATGTCGGCGCTTGGCTATTCAATATTAACCATTAACTACACTCCTAATAATTGTCAACTATAAAGCTTATTGTGGCTTATAATACGAGCTTCTAGAGAATCAAGACCCAATTTTAAAACAATCTTGGCCACAATAAACTGTTCATAACAACAAAATGTATGAATTTCAGCAAAATATTCAGTGCTACCCATTCACATTTTAGCACTATACAGCACTTGCTGTTAGCTTCAGTTGTTAAGAAGTAATTGGCAAAATTCTCATCGATATTTGCTAAAGAGCTCGCAACCTTTAAATCACAGTGTGCATGAGCTGGAAGCCCTTATTCTGGGGGTCCATTTCCTACTAGCTACAGGGCTACCCATAGGGGATGAGACTGTAAGGACGACCAAAAACTCTTAACATGTGACGATCCCAGGGTTAAATTAAGTATGCAGCCTTTGATATACAAATCTTATTGCTAATATTTGGCAAAGAAAGAAACAAGTTTACACTTGCAGGGAATCGTGAATATGTAACAGACCGTATAAATTCCGTACAATCTTCTCTGAAGTTTCACATCCTTTGTATATCCTGTATATCACTTCCTATTGGAGTAGCAGATAGAATTAACAATAGAAATAGTTTATTATGCATTTCATTTTACGAAGAATTATGCCTCAACGATCTTCAGTTAAAAAATTTTAGATAAAGCAATAAACTCAGAAGCAATATTTTTATTTTAAGCAAAAGTTATTTAGACTAGAACAGAAACCTATTAGCAATACTCATTTGAGTCTAAGCACATCGGTTGCCACAGCTCAGAACACAAGCTCCATAAACCCTAGCTGTGGTTCCGGGACAGATTGCAACACAATGTTGTAGTGAGCCTCCAGGGCACTGTTTCTCCCCTTTGCTTGCAACAAGCTGAAAGGGAAACTGGGAACCATTATACTGAGAGACCGACTTTTCTTCTCTCTCATGAGAATTGGAAAATTTGGTGTACTGTCCAAGAGCGTTCTCCGTAGTGATGTTGTTGTCAGCCTCCTCAGTACTATCGACAGCATACTGTTTCAGGGTGGAGGATTCAGCAGTGTTATCAGTAGTACAATCAATACAATACTCCCCAGAGGTGTAACCGCTGAGATCACTTGATGTTGTGTATTCAGAATCGTTAATGGTTGTAACCTCATAACCTGAGAGGCTCTCAGCTTGTTGGTTGTTATATCTAGTTTGTTTTCCTCCTACTAATGAAGCATCATATCCTGGTGCTGGAACTACACTGTTGGTAAAGGGTTCAACGATGACTGGAATGTTATCTTGGTTATCCGCAAAACTATCAGAATTCCTATAACTAGCAATATTATCTACATTTACAGATTCAGATCCCTCACTGGAAGCATCTTCTGCATAGTAAGAAGCTAGATGGCCTTCATTACTAGAGTCATATCCTCTAAGGGCAGATTCATCAAAAGATGCATTAAATCTGGAATTACCACTTTTTCTTCTATCTTGTGATTCGTCAGCTTCTAATGGTGCTCCATAAAGAGTGGCTAAGGTAGCTCCATCATTACCATGATTAGTGGCACTTGCTTCCAAGGGTACTCCATATGCTGCAACATTTTCTGTATTCAAAATTGTAGATCCTCTTCGAGATGTGTTCTCTGCTTGAGCAGGTGCACCATACTCAGATGCAAGACTTTTTTGTGATGTTGCATAGTCAAGAACAAGTGCATCATATTCATTAGCAATGTCAGAAGTGGTATCCTCAACCCCTCTTTGATTTACAGAAGCAATTGGGGGTCCATATTTGCTTGTATTTCTAGATGAAGCAGAACCTTTCTTCTGTCCTTCTTCATCTGAAGCAATGCCTGTAGCAGCATCATTGATTCCAGTTTTAATTCCACTAGCTTTCTTAGATGCACCAAATGCATTGTCAGAACGAGTTACATCAGAACCTCTTAGAGGAGCTCCATAATCTACATATTCTGTATCAATGTCAGATGTGTAATCATTGTAGTCTCCTTCGGGAAATTCATTAGATTGGGGTGCTCCATATCCAGAAGCAGCCTCAGCAGTGGTAGTGGCATAATCTCTAACAACACCAGTTTTAGGTGCTCCATATTCAGAAGTTACTTCAGCAGTGTCAGAATTTGAACCTCTTTGATTTAAGCCGAAAGATTTGGGTACTTTATTTCCAGAGACAATGTCAACAGTGTCATTATCAGCACCTCTCTGAGATGAACTGGAAGATTGAGGGGCTCCATATCCAGAAGCAATATCAGTGGTGTCTTCATCAGAATCTCTTAGAGTTGATCTGGAAGGTTGAGGGGCTCCGTATCCAGAGGCAATGTCAGTGGTGTCATCATTAGAACCTCTTTGAGATGATCTAGAATATTGAGGGGCTCCATATCCAGAGGCAATGTCAGTGGTGTCATCATCAGAACTTTGTTGAGATGATCCAGAAGATTGAGGGGCTCCATATCCAGAGGTAATGTCAGTGGTGGTATTCTCAGAACCTATTTGAGATGTTCTGGAAGATTTAGGGGCTCCATATCCAGAGGCAATGTCAATGGTGGTATTCTCAGAACCTCTTTGAGATGTTCTGGAAGATTGAGGGGCTCCATATTCAGAGGCAATATTAGCAGATTCATCACCAGCACCTCTCTGAGGGGATCTGGATGATTGAGGAGCTCCATATCCGGAGTCAATGTTAGTGGTGTCATCATCAGAACCTCTTTGAGATGTTCTTGAAGATTGAGGGGCTCCATATTCGGAGGCAATGTCAGTGGTGTCATCATCAGAACCTCTTAGAGATGTTTTGGAAGGTTGAGGGGCTCCATATCTGGAGGTAATATCAGTGGTGTCATCATGAGAACCTCTTAGAGATGTTCTGGAAGGTTGAGGGGCTCCATATCCGGAGGCAATGTTAGCAGTTTCATCATCAGAACCTCTCTGAGATGATCTGGAAGATAGGGGTGCTCCATATCCAGAGGCAATGTCAATGGTGTCATCATCAGAACCTATCTGAGATGATCTGGACGATAGTGGTGCTCCATATCCAGTACCCACATCAATGGTAGCATCATAATAATTTCCTCCTGACAAATTAGATTGAGGTGCTCCATATTGTGCAACATCAGATTGAGAGGTACTGTCAGCAATGCTATTCTTGGATTTCTGGGAAGTTTTGCCAGCATTTTTTCTCTGAGGCTTCTGGACTTCAGAAGCAACAACATCCTGATTCTTCTTAGGTGGAGTAAACTGAGTCTCTAAAGTTGGAACTTTCCGAGCTGTATCCTTGTCCACTGAGACATATCCGGATAGAGAATCTGTATCCTTGTCCACTGAGACATATCCGGATAGAGAATCTGTATCCTTGTCCACTGAGACATAACCGGATAGAGAATCTTCATTATCCTCTTCTACAGGGGGCAGGTAGCCAGTGCTTGTAAAGGGAGAACTAAAGATAAATTGCATATAATTCATGATTAATTTTAAGAAACTAATTTTTTAAATTCCACCTACTTGTTCAGAGTCTGCTGTTGATGTAGATGATTATGAACGCCATGAGCATGCACATGATGGTCACCATCTCTGCCAACCCTGCTGAGAAGAGATCTTCTTTCAAGGGTATGGCCAGAACTTTGTAAGACTAGCAGAGGAAAGATAAGAACAGACTGAAAACAAAGAATTCACATAAATCCAGTCTGTCGATTTTTTGTGCATAAAACATTATTTGACACTGGGCACAATAGACTAGCCAGTACCAGTATATTCAAATTAGCTTGTTCTTGTAAATGTGAATTAGTCATTATATTAAGATTTATTTAATCATTCTCAGGCTGATCAGGAATTTAGGATTCAGAGAAAGTAAATGATAAATGAATATTAAGGCTCAGAATATGCCAAAAATTATCCAAGATTTAAAAAATAATAGAAGAAGCTAAGAATTGTTAAGAGAAAGGAAGGGAAATAACTTTGACTCTTTGTATACAGAACATTAATGATTTTTAAACTCCCACCCCTACAACTAAATAGATAAAACCAATCATACAAGATGTTTATGAAGATTCGATTTTGATAGTCTAAATTATATAAAACTGTGTTGAAACAAATCTCAACAATTTTACTAATGAAATAAATCCCCTTACCACTGCCTTCATGTTTATTCAAGAACTGCTTGGACTGAACTGAAGATGTAAACCAACCCCTTGACTTATATAGGTAACTACCCATCAGCAGCCCACGCTTTACAGGCGCACAAATATCCTTTTCCAAGCTCAATATGGTAATCCACGGGAAAACAAAATAATTGCGCATTTTTCATTTTCAGAATATTTTGTGCATTTCAGTCTCTTTTCTTGACACTCGGAATTACAAATTATCTCAGAATTTTAACAAATGAATTCAATTATTTGAATTCTGCATAGAAATTCAGATTTTCACGAAACGTTAATTTTGTTAACCTAATTTTTGGACTTTTTATAATAAGTTTCAAAATACTTACATCACCGTTTGAAAATCCTAAAATACGTTAAATTCTGTCAATTTCCTTGTTTTTTTCTGCTGCATGATTCCGCAGGTGACTGTTTGGTTGAATGTTTCCATTATTACTCGAGTAAGCTACTATTCTAATGTACTGTAAGTGTATTTACAAGTGACCCTAGCTCTATGTAAAGTTGGCTATATACCTGATTTACAATGAATAAGATATCAACAATTATGTTTCTATAAACTGTTTATTTGTATGCGGGGGTTCTCTGCGAAACTGAGTTGCGCAGTTCTTGTTTATATGAAGCAATGGAGAAATTCACAGAAATTAACAATTTTCGAGTCGAAGAAACGACGCTTTTAAAACATTTTTGGATCAAATTAAGGTTTCAAGGGTGCAATTGTAAATCAGACATTGCAATCTTTGTTGGACCTAATTTTAACCTTATGGAATAAATTACACCATGATCCAAAGGAAAGAAAAATTTAAAAAATGCATAAATTCTATAATCATCATTTTGAAAACTCGGAACCTTTTCCCTAACCATATTTTAAGTAACTCCAATTTACAACGATACCATTGAAACCATAATCTGATCTAAAATGGGAAACCTCAAACGAAAATGAACAGTTTGAAGATACAAAAACATAGATGGCTGATTCATACTTTATCATACAAAGCTTTTAAGGGAACCAAATTGTAAACCTTGCATTGCCCCCTTTTGTATGGAGGGTCACTTGAAATTACGCTTACAGTCCCTTTAATAAAATATTAACTATATTAGAATGCGTCAAAAAATAATCGATGACTGTTGTAATTGTAATACCTGAATGATTTGTTTGGAAATAAATTGATTATTTTACGATCAGAGTTGAATGTTGCAACTTTCTGAATTTGTATGGACGCTACGTTCTTCAGTATGAGTCGTTTTTAACAATTTTCTCCTTATAGACGCAACAAATAGAAGAAAGATTAGTAGCGATCAAAAGCGCTTATTTTTCGCCGTAAGCCTATACCCCCTTTCAGTTTTCGCGAACACTTCCTGTAAAGCAGGGAAAAAAATTATAAAGAAAAAAAATTTTGAAATGGAAAATGTATAAAATTAAAGTGGTTAAACATATCAGTACTCACTGAATTCATATATGTTTAAAAATGTAATTAAATTTTGACAACTTCTAAAAAACACGCTACAAAACTTTTTAAGTACTTAAGATGGAATCTGTCTAAAACGGTTTAAACAAATTAAATCAAATTAACAGCCTTAAACTAATTTCCTTTTTATTACATGGTACTGGTAATGTTAATGGTAGATAATATGTTTCAAATAGATGAGAGTTTTATACCAAATTATTTAAATAAATGTTTGTCTGAAAAATAAATTGACAAATTGCTTTATTATACCTCCTTTACCAGTTTAAACTGTAAAAAATAAGAAATAAAAAACTATGAGTTAAAATTTTTATTTTTTTTTATTTTAAATGATTAGTAAAGATGATCGTAAAGCTTAATGAGCTATGCTTTTCATCAAAAAGATGTGATTTGAGTAGAAGTCCCAAAATTGAACCTTTTCAAAATAAAAGGAGAAAAAAGGCGATTAAAAAACTGTAAAATTTTTGAGTTATAGAACCTCATATAACTACACCTTAAAACTTGTACAATATGCCCCAAAATCAAGGTTTATATACTCTCAAGTGTTTCCCCTCCAGCTACTTTAATGATAAAGTAGCGGCGTAAGCAAAACCGGTTCGACCCTATTTTAAAAAATCTAATTACTGTGACTCCATGCAAAGGTGGCATGTCCGATTATACGACGGTACCCTTAAACCTTTGTCTGATCAAGCGTATGAATTAGATATCGATGTTTACAATTTGAAAACTGATTATTTTCGATTGTGATTTCTCTACAAAAGTGTCTTGCGCATTTCTACTGCGGGATAGTATAAGAATTAAACACATTTTAATCAAGAAAATGGACATTATTCTCAACATTTTGGGCAAGTAAAGGTTTAAAGGCTTTAAGATGCCTCTGAAAGAATAAAATTTAAAAGGCTTACCAAAGCTAGATTTGATTATAAGCTTGGTGATTTATAAAAAACCGTTTCACCTCATTTAGCGAAATTATTATTAAAGCATAAACTATTTGTTATTATTTATGTTCAAACTAAATTATTTCCAATTTTCAAATAATACAAACATCATGGAAGCCTTTATTTGGTAACCCTTATTAAAATTAAATGCCGAAAATGAATAAAATATTGAAATCAAACAACTAACTTGAGTTGATATACAGCAGTGGTAAAGAGGGAATTAAAATCCACCTAAATTATCTTATCTACGCTCCGGTAAATTTCCAAAACAAAAATATGAGCAATGATATATCTGCAGAAAATCCCTTGTAGACTATTAGAATAGACTGTAGACTGTAGACTGTAGACTGTAGACTGTAGACTGCAGACTTTAGACTGTAGACTGTAGTCTGTAGACTGTAGACTGTAGACTGTAGACTGTAGACTGTAGTCTGTAGAATGTAGACTGTAGAATGTAGACTGTAGACTCTAGACTGTAGACTGTAGAATGTAGAGTGTAGACTTTAGACTTTAGACTGTGACTTTAGACTCTAGACTCAGGTTAAAAGTTGTGGCACTCAAGCCAACTATTATTTTGTTTACTTACATATTGTGACATTTTTCAAATAAAAATGTCACATATAGAAAAGCTAAAATGTATGTTAAAAAATCTGAAGATTTTTACATTTGAAAAATATCTAGTCTTTATTACTTTATTCACTACTGTATATAAATGATAAAAACTGCCAGAGAGGAACGAAATTCAGTTATTCTTGGGTCCCATGGTCCATGATTGCTTTAAGATGTATGCTCATGGTGCTCAACAAGTGTTTTGCTCTATACCAATAATTGTTTGGATCAATAACTATTTTATCTCTATATATGTAATTTGTAACTGTCTGTCTGTATCCAATAAACGTCAAAACGTCTAATCCGATCTGACCCAAATATTTTGTGGGACCTCACATGACCCCAGGGAAGGTTTCTGGATGCTCAGAATTACAAAAATTTCTATCCAAAAGCTTGTGATATTTTGTGAAATTTTATAAACCAGGCTTTTAGGGCGCTTTGCACCCATCTTTTATTTCAATTGAACATTTTATCTTTGTATACATTGGAAAACAAAAACGAAACAGTTCGCATATTTTATAAAAAAAGTCGTGGATTTTAAAATTTAATTTAAATCGAATTTTGTTGGTGGCAAATTTTTGAAATTTTTTTAAATGTGAGGTCCAACAAAAATTGTGGCCCGATCGGTACAGCCGTTTTGACGTTTATTTGGATACAAACAGACAGACTAGCAGAGTAAATATTTGAATATATATATATATATATATAGATGCTCGAAAAAAAATATTTAAAAATCCGCGAATTTTTTGCTGTTATTTATTTTTTACTGTACAAAGAGAAGATGGGCGCGATGAGCCCTTATGAGCTCAATAATAGCATGATCTGACAAAAAAATCAAATAGCATTGTAAAGTGAGGCCTAATCTTATGATAAGAGACTTTTAAAAAATTGCTAATATGAATCGCAATTTGACCATTTTCAATGTTTAAGAGAAATAAACAAAGTAAGACAATAAATCAAATATGTTACAAAGTAGAGTTCAAATAGCTTTAGCTCGTCCAAAAGCAAATAATGCAGGATTCAAAGGTTAAACTACTGGAAGTTTTGAGGCCTATATTCTGATGAATAGCTTAATCAATAAGCCCTGCATTTAATGCTGCCACGCTTTTATGGCGGACAAGGCATTTCTGAATAAGTTTTAATGTTTCTTTAATATCATCCAATTTCTATATTTTACTCTTTGTTCTTGGGTTAAATGTTATTTACTGGTTTAGTGCTTTAGGGTTGAATGTGTAACTTTAATCCTACCATGAGATTGTTCCTCTCTGTTTCAGAAGGCTTCCAATCTTTCTTCACTACTTTATATATATCCTTAACTTTGAGATTTTCGTTTAGTAATGTATTTCAGTCCACGGGAAAATTTGGACAATAATAATAATGGAAATGATTAATTAGAAAAACAAAACATTTACCAATGTAGAACTTAATTTTTAAAAAATATTCAAAAATATTAGTACAAAAAATTCGACTTTACAAATTTGATAGAAATATTTATCTTTACTTAATACTAGTAGATTTCAGCCTCTATAATTTAGGATATTATGAATTTACTTGATGATTAATAATTGCGGATTTTGAGAGAGCGAATATTTAAAAGAAAAGAACTTGTTACCTAGATTTTCAATCTGTTGTTTTAAAAGATACAGTTAAATCACAATAGCAATATATTCTTATTCCACCCCTTGGACCCTTTTCCCTCAAAATTGATATGTTGCCCCTGAATTCTTTGTTTTGATCTCCTCCCACTGCAGTTTACAGATTTGACGCATCAGATATGGCGGTTCCTGGTTATATATTTCTTGCTCCATGCAAAGATTTCAATGCCCGAGCCCGAATTTTTAACGGTATACCCTTGAAAAAATTTGTCTGAAAGTTTGTGAACGTTTTCTTTCCATGGAAACCCTAGTATGTGTTTGCGGTGCATTGCAAAATTAACTGGAATTTTTAGAATCATAAATGATGTCTAACAGTCGTCTTTCTATTTCATAGGTTTATGGATCCTACTGTACGAAAAAAGAATGAATAAATGATGAATAAAGAATCCGTTTACAAATTATTTAAT